CAAAATTTTATTAAGCTAACATGCCTTGCGCTATTAGAGAATCTTGTTCGTAATATCCTAAAGAATATATCTACAAATTTTCGCGAGTTTTGGATACTTCATTATTAAGATATAGACGAAAACGTTACGCGCCACTACTTTCGCCGGGGACTGTAATTTATAAATCTTATTAAAGACTATTTAATAACATATTTTTTTATTATTATATTTTTATTTATAGAGTCTTTATATTTTAAAATATTAAATATTTTTAGAAAACTTGTATTATATTAAGTTTATTATAATAATATTACTAATTTAATTATAATAATTTTATTATAATCTTTATATTTTTTTATAAATATTTTTAAATAATATTTTCTTAAATTAATATTTAATAAAATATAACTAATTAATTATTTTTAATTATATTATAATATAAATTAATTAATTAAATAATAAATAATATTTTTATTTATATTATAATAATATTATAATTTTATATTTTAAAATTTTTTAATTAATAAAAAATTTTTTTATACAAGTTTAAAAATATTAAATAAAAAGTTATATATTAAAATTATAAATATTTATTATAAAATAATTATAATTAAATCAATTTATAATTATTATACTTGAAAAGTAAAATTAAATAACTAAAAAAAATATAATTATAAAAAGATTTTTTTAATTATAATTAATTAATAACTAGAAAACTTAAAAAAAGTAACTATAAAAAAAGATAACTATAAAGATACATGACTATTAAGAGGTCTAACTATATTTATAAAATTATAATAGATAAATATTTATTTAATAAATAAAATTATAATATATCATATATCTTCAAATATAAATAATCAAAAAATGCAAGATTTTGACAAGGCAAAGGGAAGAGAGATTACTTATATTTAAGTATAAATTTATTATATTTTATATATAATATTTTCAGAATCTCAGATCTTAAAAAGAGATGGTTGCTTATATTTGGAGATATATGGTATTAGATATTTATAAAAAAATATAATTTATAATATTAAATAAAATTTTTAAATAAAATAAATTTATTTTTAAAAAATATTAAAATTCTATTTCAAACTGATTAATTAATTAAAATTAAATTTAATAAAATTAAATTATATTTAATTATAATTTTTAAAATATTATTAAAACTAATTAATAAAATAAAACCAAATCTGAATCTTTACTATATTAAAGATATAATTGTTATTTAGATTTTTGATTCTAAATAATATTGCAAAATTTAATTTTGATCAGCATTATCTTTAATTCTGGCCAGATTATCACATGATTTTACGACCGTAAATTTGGCATCCCAGTTTTCAGATTTTATTAATTTTTTGCAGTCTACACTGCCATTTTGTGATATATTTATTACAAAGACATTAATTATGAGTAATATTGACGTCGAAATTCTTGAACTAGCTGGTGACGAGCAGAGCAATGACTCACCAGAACAACAAGAAACCACTAAAATAACCGGGAAACGTAAAAAAAATGCAAGGTGATTGATTTCTATCGAAATCGTCACTTTTTCAGTTCACTGTAGGTGTATTCTCTGTTTCAACCTCGTGTATTATCCTTTTCTGCAGTGAGTCTGAGGGAGAATCTTCTGATCACGAAGTTCAGGCACAAGAAGAAAAGCGCAAAGTTAAAAGAATGAATGAGGATAAACCTAGTCTTCCTCAAGAAGAGGAGGACGATGCAATGTCTTATGATAGTGATCTAATGGGCGACGAGGATGATAGGGAAAGGTAAAATTAACATTTTGCATTTATGTAAACTACATTGTAGCTATAATATTTTCTTAAATTTTTTCGTTAGGCTTTTAGAAATGACCGAAGTTGAACGTGAAAAAATTCTTTCGGAACGAGCTGAAAGGGTTGGCATTTCGTATTTTAAGGAAAACCTTCATTATAATAAATTAATATTATCAAGTACTTTCTTTTATTTTAGCGTCAGCAAAAATATGATTTGAATCTAGTAACAAGATGGGCAGACAGCGGTCCAAAGAAAGAAGGAGATTCTACAAGAAGTAAATTGTGATTAATAATGCTCTTTTAAAAGATTTGATGTGAAAGAAAAAAATTCATAGCTTTGCTATTATAATTTTGGTTATTAGGATCTACACGAGCAAAAGACGGCACAAAAAAGAGTACAAAATACTCAGAATTAAAACGTGCTCGTGAGGAAAAAGGCGCAAAGAAGGCACAATCGTCTGTATGTTAGATTTTATTAGTGTCATCATCAACATAATATTGCGATTTTTCTATATTAATTTTCGAAACTGATAGAAATTTTTTTATAGACTAATAATAATAATAATGACAATAATAGCAATAGCAATAGACTTGATTTATCTGATCTCGCGGGGCGCCTTTCAATGAGAGACTCTTCTCCGGATCGAATATTACACCGTGAATTCAGACAGGTAAATTATGGAATTGCATCTAATGTTATTGATCCAACATTTTATTATTAAATCTGAAATAAATCTCTTAAAAAAACCAACAGCCAAAATTTACAGGAGATGAACTGAAATTTGAAGATTTGAAATCAATTCAAATCACACGACGGCAAATCGAGAAATGGATGTTTGTTCCGATTTTTGAGAAAACTGTCATCGGATGTTTTGTTCGTCTTCATATTGGTATGAAAGAAAATGGAACACAAATATATCGAGTGTGTGAAATTATGGGTAGGATTTCTTTTTCTATTAAGCTGTACGCATTTATTGTGATCTTATTAGATTTTTATTTTAGATGTTAGAAAACATCATCGAAGCTATAAAGTTGAAAATACTTTGACAAACAAGTCGATGTTACTAAGACATGGAAAGGACGAAAAAGTCTGGACCATGGACATCATATCTAATGCGCCCTTTGAGCAGGTAAATAAAAATATTTTGTTGCTTTATAATGATTACTCATTATCTACAGCAAAATTGACTGATTTCTTTATAGTCTGAATATGACAGATGGGTTTCCACAATGAAATTTTATATAAGACCTTTCCCATCAAAAAATGATGTTGAAAAAAGGCGAGAAGCAATCCAAGAAGCCTATAATTATAACTTAACGGAGGTCTATACATCAAAATAATTTTTCCTTTCAACTTATTAAGATCGATTGCCCATTAAATTTAACTAATTTATTAATAAACATAGGAAGACGTTGCCGCTATAGTCGCCCAAAAAAACCAATTACGCGGATCGCAAACAAATTTGGTAGCAGAAAAACATCAACTACTCACCAGAAGCCAAATAGCACAATCAGAAAATAATTTTGCCGAGGCAGCAGAAATTGCCGCAAAAATCGAGGAAATCGATTCGTATTTGAATGAGCAAGCAAAATTGGCAGACAAAAATTTGTACAAGTGGGCTCAATTGAATGAGAAAAATCGGCGAAAAAATTTGGAGGACAGTAGAGCTGCCGAAGCGCGAGCTAAAGCGGAGAAAGCTGCAAAATTGAAACTGAAACGGCGAGGTATGTATTCTTTTTTGATTACATTATATTTCCGTTTATAAATTTAATTATCAAATATGCAGTTGAAGAATCAGGACACGATATGAATAAAGAAACGGAAGGAGAAAGCTCAACAGTCTCAATAAACCAATCTTCAAAAGCACCGTTCTGTCCGATTGCACCACCGATGACTAACCCTATACATATTACCGAGGAAATCTATCGGAATTTGAAAATTCGGATTGTTGTTAAACAGGATAAAGATTATGAGAAAATTAGACCTCAGTATCTTCAAGAAATGAAATACAAATATGAGGTGGCTGCGAGAAATTTCAAATGAGTGTGATAATCTATCTTGACCAGACAAAAAAAATCATGATTTAGTTAATTATTACATAGTCAAACCATGATATAACGAAGTGGACGGGCTATTAGCAAAAAAATTCGGCATATCAAGGTTTATTTAGTAGATTCGGTTTATCGAGGTGAATCTACTCCTAGAACTAGCTTTAGTCTATCGAGATTTAATTTTACTTCGTTATATCGAGGCTCATTGTATTCGTCTGCAATAACGGTTATCATGATTCAAAATGACGTCATTGCTTAATTATTAACGAATATTCAATAAAAATTGAATATGTATAGTATATTTAGATAACATCCTCATCTTCAATCTCCTTCACTAATTGTGCCAATTCTTCTAGATTCCATCCAATTTCCGATTTAGGTAGTTTGAAATGATGTATTTGATGAGCAAGAGATCGAATAATTGAATCACTGAAGAAAAATCGTTATTCGGATGGAAATTAATACGAAAAAAATTATATAAATAAAAAAATTGATGTTTACCTTGCTTTCATACACCAAACACAATAATCATCAATCCATATTTTCGAATACACGTAATAAACGTCATGATGATCGAATAACTCTTTTAATTCCATTAGACATTTAAGGATTGCACGTCTACCTAGTTTTAAAATCACATATACATCTTGGAGAATTTTTTCGCAAAGTTCGTAGTTTCGGTAAAGTGGATACGACAATGCGCGACGATATGACGCGGTTATTACACTTTTCAGGGTCGTAAAATGCTATGAGATTTGAAGTTGATTAGATTCATAAGGTGTAATTGATTTTTCTTGAAGGATAATCTAGTTACCTCGAGGCATGATATCGTCGAGCTTAGTTTTCCCACAGTCCATACAGACTCCACGGTATTCTCACTTTCGGTCACGCGATGATTGTAACTATAAGCAAAAAGTAAGTCTATTAATCCAAGGTAAATTGATTTTTCATCATCAAGGAGATCTAAATAAAATAATTGACATTAAAAATTAAATTGAAACATTACAAAATTCGCTACCAATAAAAGTCTTACATTCTTTATTCGGCAAGTTCAGCATTATCTCTTGCTCACGTTTTGTAAATGGTAAAAAGTTCTTTAATGAAAAAGTTGCACAATTGCTTTGCTGATTTTGTTTGGATGTGACGTCATTCTCTATCTTGCTATTTGAGGGATTTGATTTTGAAAAGTCCCCTGTTATTGCAAGTTTATTGTAAGTTAAAAAATTTATTTATCTATCAATCAAAATCAATTCAAATTACCGTTTGAAGAGTCAATAATTGAAGAATTTGACTCTTCTTTGGTAGTTTGTATTCTACGTAAAAGTTTCCACCATACAGTTTTATAATTCATGACGCGTTTGATCTCCTCATCGAAAGTATAATCACCCCTAAAATAATTGAAATCACGTAAAAAGAATAGCATGGAATAAAAGGAATTGCCGTAATCAAAAACTAACATATAATACTCCTCATCAAATTTAAGATCCTCGGCCTCAATTCGATCTCTATGTCTGGATTCAAATGTTGAACTCTCCGGGTCCTTAATCTCATTAATCTCATTACAAGTCTCTTGGACGTGAGTAAAGTATCGATTATATTGTCCATTGAAACCATATCGTGCTGTGATTAGTAATTCCTGTATTATGACCAGAGTAAGCTTATTTTAATACGTTTTTCCTTTGTTTCTTGCAATTTTATCAAATTTTACCGGTTGTTTTGGAATTTCTTGTTCAATCTCCCAGTCAAAATCTAAAGCTATCAATAAATATAAAAAAGCAGAATAAAAGTTAACATTATTATCGATCAACTTTTTAAATGATACTTGCTTGCCTTCATCAAACTCTGAAAGTCTTTGTTTCATTTGACTTTCCACATCATTATCGTCATGTTCTCTTTTATTCTCTACAACTTCGATTAATGTTTTTGAAAACTGCCGCTTTTCTTGATCACGAGTATTTTCTCTCCTAGCCAAAAGTTTAGTCAAAAGATCCAAATCCGGAAAATATTCCCCAGGATTTTCTTTTCCCAATTTTACATTTATATCACCTTTCGATATATCATACGATGCCTCCGCACGATCATCTTCAACAATATTTCCCGGGAATCTTAATCTAAAATATTACCGTGAATTAAAATTTAAAATTAAAAGATTTTCTTGTAATAAAAATAAATAGATTCTAAAAACTTTAATCACACCTACCTTAAATAATACGGATGGAGACAAAACTTGAATTCATTATTTTCTATGTAAAATTCCACATCTTGTGACTTTTAATTCCAAAAATCATATACATGATAAGCATAAATCCTTTAATATAATGATCATCTCATATAGTCAAAAGTCGTTAATGTATTTGCGTGGTAGACTTAATTACCTTAACATATGGTACATGGATACTAATCTTTATAAAATTATCATCTTGGTCGACCGAAAATGTGGGAGTAATCATATTCTACCGATTTAAAAACTGACAAGAAATTTCTCTGATTGTTTGGAGTCACGTGAAATCATGAATTTTATCGGGAGAAACGGTGAGTCCATCATGTGATCAATCCCCTTAAATTGTAAGCATTGTTTTCATTTGTACACCAACCTGACAAAATTATTTGTGAAATTTAATTCAAACTATAGCGATAGTGCTTATATCTCTTTTCGCAATCAACTATCCAAATTATTTAATCTTTTTATTAGATTCACCTTGATTTCTACTTTCAGAAATTTTTTTTTACTTTTTAAAATCATTTTTGAGTAATACCTAAAAGATCAGATTTTATAGATTTTGAATATGAAGAAATTATTGATTTAAATATAAAACAGCTTTTGCTAATTCTAATTATATAAATTTTATTTAAATAAAAATATCAATAAATACAAGATCTGATTATATATCTTTTTTTATAAAAATTAGTTTACTAGAAATTCATTTGAATGAAGTTAATTACTTTTATATTTACTAACTTTAAACTGATATTTTTGAAAGAATTTATATATTAAATTTTCAACTCATCTCTCAAAGAATATTTAATTTCTATTTGAATAAAATTAATTAATCATCATACTTGAAAAGTAAAATTAGATGATTATAAAGAGATGTAACTATAGAGATGTTTTTTTTTAATTATAGTTAATTAATAATTGGAAAATTCAAAAAAGAATGACTACTAAAAAACGTGATTATAAAGAAATATGACTATAGAGAGATTTGATTGTATTAGCATTTGAGAATTCTAATAAATAATCATAAAGTTTGAATTATTGGTTATATCATAAATGGTATTAATCACTTTATAGATGCCAGCCCAGTGTAATATTGTTTTGCTGGGTTTAATTATGCAAATCTAATTTAACATTCAGCATTGGCGCAGTATTTGACTCGCGCCATGTTTAATAGTTATAAGATTTAATTATGTATCTACATGTATTTTGCGTTGTTATAATTTATTTTATCTAAACCGCCATTATGAATATGAACAAAAAACATTTTTTGTGAAATGAATAGAATATACAAGAGCTTTTCTCGAGTTTATATTTATGCTACCCCCAACATCCAAAAAGGTGGTATACCTTGTCGTCTCGCTTCAGCTCCAATACCCACACGTAAATCTATTATAGAATCAGGTGATGATGAAGAGGATGGATAATTGTTTTTAAAAATATCCAGTTTACCTCCAATATTTTTCAAGAAATGCTGAAAATAATCATGTTCATCTCCATGCTCATGCCAAATTCCACGTTTTTCATCACTGGTCTGATGAGCTGTTTGCGCAATGTGTAACAGTGGTTTTAGCATATCATTTTCTAGTCGATCTTCATTTAATTCTAAATGTCCCATCATTGCTCTACTTAATCGTTGACCTTCTTTCGCGGTGTATTGCCAAAGATCAGCACCAACTCCAGCATTCTGTATTCCTCGAGTCAACAACATCCAATATTGAAGATTTAACGTGGTGTATCGAAACTCATATTCATTAAATTCCAACTTTTTTATTCGACCCTGTGCAATTTCATTTTGCACTAGTGTAATTTCTTGTGGCTGGGTTATACTCGATGGATTTGCACTATTGGCGATATAAAAATGTTTTCCGATGCGCATTCGTAGTCGATTAACGACTCGAAGGTAAAGTCGTAAATCGTCAACGAAAGCAGCCAAAGATGTAACTTGGAGGTCGTAAAGCGTACTACGATGATCTCGTAATCGTGCAATGTCAATTCCCTTGGGTGAATTAACTAAATATTCTAACCAATCAGAAGCTAACGAAATTAGATCAATATATTCTTTATGAGTTAACGCGTGAGAACGATGAAGGAGTCGGCATGCATCCAAGAAACTACTTGGATTGACTTCGTGTAATTCTTGTATAAATTCTTGTGATTTATATTTCAAAAATTTTTGTGGAGCACGAGGAACCTTATTAAGACTTGGGAAACTATATCCTTCGTCATTAATTGCATCGAGTTCTGTGTTATATTTCGTAACCTCAAGGTCATTTTCGTCACCGATGGAATACGAAGACAATAGGAAGGTCCGAATCAAATTTGCTGCCCATCGAGCATACGTTACCTGGCTCGAAAAATAATTTGCTAATGTTAATGTAGTCACATTCTCAAATAATACTGAAAGAGAAATGTTCTCTGGTATTATCATTTTTTCTTTTGTCAACGTTGGTGTTTCTGAAGATGATAATTGTAATTCGCGTTCGCTTGAATCTTCAACTAGAGAGTTTATATTTTGAACCGCTTCAACTGATGTTGTATCGGTAGAATTTTCAGTGTTAGTTGACAATAATAATTCTTCATTTGAACCTCGTAATTCATGATAACGTGCTGTCAGGTTATCATTAATTTGCAATTCGGATTCTTTAAACATTGTCGTTATAAAAGAAACCATATTATCAGCTTTTGCGATCAAATGGTCGATCACACTCGAAAATTTTGCGTCACCTGACCAATAACGAAGTTGTGCATGATTCAAGAGTTTTTCATCATACTGGAATAACCGTTTAGAATCAAATCCATGGGCTCTTGCCAATTGTTCATCAATACCATCCAAAAAATTTTGAATTGCTAATAAACGATTGAAAACACGCAATGATAACGCCTCCTTTTTGTTCTCTTCTTGCAAAGCTTGGCCAGAGAATAGACGAAAGACCCAGCCAATTGATTTATAATGATCCTTTTCACGTGAAAATTGTATTTCTTCAGTTTCTCTTTCCCATGGGACAGCAGCTTTGATCGAAAATTTATGTGGTGAATTAACGCCGAGTCTCCATAATAATTCCAACTTTTCCCCAAAAATAAAATGAACCATTTATTAATAAGAATTCCAAATATATTCATAGTATTATGAATTTTTTTACCTTTGATCTACGTCCATATCTCATTTTAGGATTATACGAATCTTCGGCATCATTTCTAAAAATAATTTGTGGTTCTTCGGGAGTAATGGGCCTGCTATCCGAGCCAGTCAAGAGATCCGTGTTATTAAGTAACCTCGCCATTGGAACAATAAAGTACTTGTAATGATCTCCCCATTCTTCTAATCGTGAAAAGATTTCAGCAAATGCATTAGCGGTCAAAAAACAATTTCCATCAAACGGCATAATCCATCGAGCTCCCGGTTGTGATTTTCCATGAATTAAGGCGGTATTACGACCACCATTCTAATATTGATAATTATTAAAATATTATCAATTTGTATTGAATTCTTGTATGAAAATTTTTGACAACGAAAACTTACATTATTCATCGCATACAGATTTTTTTCGTGATAAGTGTGGTCAAGAGTTCTCAATTTGGCTGTCTTTGAGAAACGTCTATACTCATCAGAATGGAAAAAATCCGGCTCAGGAAAATCCTCGAGACGAAAATCCTGTTTTAAATATTCCTCAGCTTTAAACGGTATCCTTATATAATCTTGTTTGTGTTCATCCAAAAGAGTTATTAGCGCTTTTTCATACTCTTTATCAACGACACGATTCAATATCCACCATTTTTTGGTATTTGGAAATTTCGGTTCATTATCTAATATAAACTTGACATTCTGCAAAGTCTGTCCTGTTTTATGTCTCGGGGGAAGGTCATTCCCCAATATACGATAAAACAAGATTTGATCAGAAGTATAAGGGGACGAGACTGAAGATATTACTTCGGGGGAGGCATTTCGTGGCGAGAGATCTTGATTCGAAGTAAACCATATATAAAATAATAGTGCCCCAATCACACTAGTGGCTAATATACCCATTAACTTTCGTAATAATTGTTCTCTTTTTGAGGTAGCAACTTGTTTCGCAAAAGTCCTGTCAAAATAGTCATTACCATATATTTGATAATTGGATATATCTCCTCTTGTATTGAAAACAGAAATTCCAATGTGTCTACGCGGCATTGTTGGTGCAGGTCTCAGATTCCCGTCTGAGTGTGAGTTAAAATAGTGATGCGTGGTAGTTTTATTCACTTTTGTATTTACGGATGAAGCATCTAGTGTAGTCTCCAGCTGCACTTTATGTTGTTTCATCTCTATTGACCAGGTTCTAATCAAACCCTTCTTTGAGAGTAGCTTTTTCTATGTTTGTCTATGGTAAGGTATACATGTAAAGACTCAAATATAGTTTTCTAATAAAGTTGGAAGGAATAAATTATATAACAGTAATATACTAGCAGTAAAAAAAAGAAAGGACAGAATTTCAAGTTTTCGAGAGAGAACACGGATGGATTGAAATCAAATCGTCCCGCCTAATCAACTAACTAAAAGCTCTAGCGTCATCACATTCACGTGATTGAATATGTGAAGCGTAGTTATTTAACACATTACAAATTGGTGACCCCTTGTCTCATTGTCTCATTGTCATACGTTTACTAACTTTATCAACCCCATATTGTTTATTAGGGTGGATATAAATAGAAAAAGTTGTGGGTTAGTATTAAAAAAACATGGCTTTGATTTTTACCCGAAAAATTTATCGCCGATATTTTTATTAAAACCCCAAATTTGGTTTAAAACATCTATGTTTATATTTTTGCATTTTGCATAAAATAATTTTTAATTTGAAAAAATAAATTTTTAAATTGAATTCAAATCTATAAGAAATATTTTGTAAATTATATATTTTTTATCTTAAAAATATATATAATAAAAATCAAAAATAAATATACGTCCCATCGAAACAACAAATAAGACAAAAAAATGAAAAAAATGTTGGTGAGATAATTTTTATATTTAATTTATTTCGACTTTATAACCTTAACCGCAAATTTTTAATCAGCCCGGATTCAATATTCGCAACTGGGATTTTTGATACTTTTAAATTTTGCTACTGCTGTTTTATATGTTTTAATGCTATTATATTGGTGTATTTGCCATATCAATATACATCTCCGTTAAAATATTCATTTGTGATTTGATTGGTTATTTAAGGACCTATCAAAACGCAACGGTAACTTATAACAATTAATTTAAATTTAAATTTTGCATTTATTGCATATGTGTTTGATTTTTTTTTCTATATGTAGTGTAAACTAATTAAATTTTTTCAAAAATTATTAGCCTATTACATTAATTTCTTTAGAATATTATCATCTTATAGCATTCATATTAAAAGGCAAGCCACAGAAATTTTTGATTTTGCGAGAAAAAAAGGAAAATCTTTAAATATGTCCCAGAATTGCTGGAGCTAGAGAGCACGCAAGACCTGAATTATCAGGCTTTTCATTCATACGTAAAAAGAAAAATATCGAATTTATTGTAAGTAGCGAGTTGAGAAAAAAAACAAAGAAGCCCATATATTTCTTTACCTCGATATCAATTCTAGTTACTATGCCATTCTAAGTAAGAAAAAAATTTTAATATTATTTAGTAGAAAATAAATAAACATCCAACAAATAAAGCCAATTAATTGATGTTACTTCAACAATGGCTACAAAACGTTTAGATCGTGTTCCGCCTAAACCGCCAGCGTTGAAATGCAGGTCTGCGGCTTTGACGAATTCAGCTCGAGGATCAGCAAGGAACGTAATCTGAAACAAGAATTTTATTATTACTATGATCATGTGAAGTATTTTGTAAATAAAAATTTACCTTATCCCCAGAATTATAATGGTCACGCCACGCTTGCATAACAAAAGCATCGTTAACAGAAATCACTGCAATTTTTTCGACCCCTTTTTCTTTGATTTTGTCGTAATTTTCGAGGTACCCAGGGACATGTGTCTTAATTTGAAATTATGAATTTTTTCTATCATGATTGATTTTTCTTTTTTTTTAATGGTTAATTTGCCTACCTTTGTACATCCTAAAGTTAATTCAAAAAAAAATTTGAATATTTTAAATAAATTATAGATAGATAAATAGATATGTCTCAAAAAATATGTACCAGGAGTAAAAGCGCCGGGCACGCCAAATAGAATGGCTTTTTTATAAGGAGCGAAAAATTCTGCGATATTTATATTATGATCTGGATTTTTTTCATTAACAGTTACTGAGGGAAGTTTGTCGCCTGCTTTCATGTTGTTTGGATGTGTTGTGTGAAAAAATCTAGATACCTAAATTTGAAAATATTTTATAATCTAATTTCAAAGATAAAAAATTTCAAAAAAATAATCACAGCAAAAGAACCAGTATTCTTCAATACAACAGCAGCTTTTGAAAAACAGCGTCCTCTATATATAATTGAAAACATTAGAACGGAAATGATATCCTTTAATAAATCATTTTATCGTTAGTTCCATGTAAATTATTCGTGATCCCGGTCTCCGATTGGTGTTATAAAGAGGGTTATAAACAACTTTAGATATTTGTCATATCGATATGAACTGATGTCATATTGATGTTAGCTGTACAAGTTAAAATCCTTTCCAACGGGCCGTATTTTTGGCCAGCCGGTATAACAAGATTTCAATATACTGTATACTCTATCATAAATTATTTGAAATTGATGATATACATACAATAGGAAGTTTCATGTTTTCTGATGCATGAAACGTTGGTGAAAAATCTATTAGGGCCGTGACAGATATTACGTAATACCCCAAAGGATTAATTACATAATATATGTTAGCTTCCTTCTTAATTCCTAACAAATATATAAACTATAGAACATATTAAAGTTAATGTTATAATCTATCGTTACCATTAGTGATTTATTTCATTATTTGAATGTAATAAATAGCAATCATTACCCTGTTTCCTATGTGATGACTGTAAAATAAAAGGTGGTCACTATCTAAAACTCATTAAACGATTACGGTGATTCGGGTATCAGTAATAAGGATAGTTCCCTTGAATTGCATTCCTTGAGTTTGAGTTGACGTATTTGTTTCAACAAGTAATTTAATTTGAATGGGCAATTATTTAATGTATTATGAATTAAAGTCAAATCTATCTTCCGTGCAATGTCTCCTGATTTCATCATTTGGGGATTAGGTCTAAAAAAGATATGCTCAACAGTTTCCTTTATTTAAAGATGAAAATTGAAATTAAACGCGCGTTTTTTTAAATGGATTAGCACGAATCATTCAATTTTAACGTCATATCCGAGAAATATTGCACGCGCTAAAAGCTGTAATGCTATCAAAGTTTTTTGTCAACGATCTGGAATTATCTAAAAATACAGTCAGAAAGAATAATTGTGTTTTAATATTCCATAATTACTGTTAATGCGTATCCGTAATAAAATATAATGTCGAGAAGTGACCCATTTTCTGTAAAAAAAAAGAAATTTTCAAAAGTTTTGTCTAATTTTAAGTTAATCGTTAGTCATATGATTTTTTAACATGTTGTAGAAAACTAATAAAAAACCTTAAGAATTTACGTTAATTGAATATGTATTCTTAAGTTTCTATAATAATAAGTATATTTTACAATTTTCGTTAGAAAAGGCTGAAATCAAAATAATCGATGTCGGGAAATAATTTCTAGCTTTGTGGGTAGAATTCAGGCATCGATAACGAGGGAACGAGTAACGTAATTTCGAAGGATACTCCATTCATGCTTAGACAACGTGTTTTATTGAAAAAACGATCTCGAAATTGACCAATTATACAGTAAAACCGAAGAAAAGGCGGGACATGTGATTTTTAAGGGGTAAACCAATCAAATCGCAAGATTTAGTGCCACTTGTAAATTTTCCGAGGGTATTAAGTTTCGTGTTAATCTGATCTTAATTTTTTTTAAAATTTATTCAAACAAGAAAAATGCCCATAAATGCTGCTACCTCCGCACTTAACCTTTCCTTTTCACCAGCAACTACAACCGGTTTTGTCATTCCTCAAAGTCGGTCTTTTACTGTCACCGTAAACCCGGTAGTACTTTTTTCTATTCTTGACCACTACTTACGTAGGCAAGAGAATCAAGATCGAGTTATAGGTACTTTGCTGGGAGTGAGAAGTGAAGATGGTAGTGAGGTCGAAGTGCGAAACTGTTTTCCCGTTCCACATAATGAAACACAAGATCAGGTTTTTATTCCCGTTTTTCCCTTTATCGCAGCATTGTGTTGCCCTTTCGTTTACATTAATAAGCTTGGAAGGGGTCTGGTTATTTTATGGTTTAGGTGGCAGTAGATATGGAATATCATCACAACATGTTTGAACTACATAAAAAAGTAAATCCAAAGGAACTCATTGTTGGATGGTACGCAACAGGCGCTAATTTAAATCAATGGAATGCTCTTATCCAAGATTTCTATTCTAAAGCTGTGTTGCCGTTTCAAGCTATTCATTTGACAATGGACACTGCTTTGAAAAACGATGAAAAGCTGTTGGGTGTGAAAACATATGTAAGGTATCTTGCCATTCAATCTCAATTCGCGCTCTCTAATTACCGTAGATCATGGATTGTTTTTTAATTTTTATCTGGATAAAAGTGCGCCTATTGGAATTTCGGGTAAACCAGAGAATTGTTTGTTCCTTCCAGTTCCATGTGACGTTAAATATTTTAACGCTGAACGGAGTGGACGTAGGTATTTGTTTCTACATCTATAGGTTCAATTAAACTCCAAAATCAATACAAAAATTGTTTTTTATTTTTAGTTGATCTACTCGCATCAGCAATGAACGAGCCAAGTCGAACAACTTCGTTAATTTCTGATATGGATAATCTCGAGAAAGCCATCTTGACAGTACAAGAAATGCTGGAAAGAGTTGCGGACTATGTGAATAAAGTTCTGGTAAATTTTTTTTCAATTCGAATCAAATTGTTGCACGTAATTTTACTTGTCATGTCGTCTTTTGATGATGATTATTTGTGGTTTACAGGAGGGAAGTGTACCAGCAAATAATACAATTGGTCGTTTTCTGATGGATACGATTTCAGTAGTTCCAAAAATTGATAAAGCGGAATTTGAAAAAATGTTTAACAGTCATTTACAAGTAAGCAACTCGCCAATCTATTCATTTTCTTATTTATCAACAGTCAACTTCAAACTTAGAATTTTATTGCTGATTTGTCTTTTTGCATAGGACTTGCTCATGGTCGTCTACCTTGCAAATATGACACGCACACAACTTGCGATCGCAGAGAGACTGCAACTTTTAGTTTGAACGTGTCAGTGAAAATACACACTAAAAAGAAATAAACGTATATATCATCTTATTATTATTGGTAATACATAAGCTTTGATTTGAGGTTTCATCATAATACGTAGTCAGATTCATTATCGTTATCGTTATAGTTATACAATGGTATTCACTTCGTTTTGTCCCAAGTTTTTTCTTTTATCATTGCACGTTTGGAAATGTATATAAGGTGGATGGTTTCGGAATGCCCATTGGCAATATAGGAGAAATTGAGTCGCATAAAAACATGATCTAATTAACTATGTTGAAATTCACATGCGAAAAAGTCCTTATCGACACGATTGATTACGCCACTACGATTTCTCACATGTTATCCACGAGCCCTCAGACATAACTTTGATATCACGGGCGCGAAAAAATATTTCGTTTTCGTTGTATTTGTAAGACTTTGCCACATTAGGTGAAGAATAGCGAAAACACAGTTTGTAACTTGTGTTATCGTTATTAAAATTTCTGTGTCTTTATAGTGAAAATTGGCACAGGTCGATAATTTTTGCTGTATTTGTGTATCGACTTGTTTGGTGGCGTAATATCGATATGTACTACATGCGAGCAAATGATATTGATAAATAAAATCATGGTAAATTGCATTCTAATCGGTAAAACTTAGCCAAATAGTTTCACAAAGTTTTTATATACTTGTAAAACTTGAACTAATAATACGATAAATAAATTATCTTCGTCCCAAAAAACCACGTTGATAGTCTAATATAATTGGCAACATCTCCCACAAACTGAATTCTGGCCAATAACAATTAACAAAATGAATATTGCATTTTTCGTGACACTGGAGATTTGATTAAATAATTAGAATTCTTATTGTAGAAGGTAAAAGTTTTCGAAATACCAGACAAACCTGCCATAATAGAAAATCAGACAAACGGGTCTCGCCGGAAGTACGAATTAGAATTTCTAATGGTGGGCATCCGTTTGTATATAATTTTGAGTCTAATAATTTTTCGTCGATTTCACTAAAGGAAAGAAGAGATTAGGCTAATATTCATAATTAATTATACATTTATGACTGAACTTCACCTGATATTAGTTTCTCCCTTTTCAACCTGTATCACTACTTTTCTAACTGCTGTGGCTATCTCATCTCGTGACGTGTATGGACAGCACAAATTCAGAATAGTTCTACACGAGAGCTACCAAGTTAATTCTATTAGTTCTTAAAAAATATTCATCAATAAAATTACCTATTATTTCTTTTTGTAGCATCCTCGGCTTTTTCCATCTCGATCAACAAATCTTCAGGCAAAAGTGTTTTATTCCCTAATATACGTATAGAAACGCCATATTTACTTACTACATCACTTTATATGAAGATGACTCGATAAGTTTTATATACACAATGTTTGGGATATTTTCACGATGAATAACGTCCTTCTAATAATTCTATAAGAATAACCACATACTTGTTTTCGTATAATTCTCTCAATTTTTTACGCGCAAGATTCATTAAAGTATCAACTTCCTCCTTAGGTCGTTTAAAATTCTCGATACTAAATGCGTATACAGTCACTACCTTTATGCCTAATTCTAAGCAAATTTCGAGAACCTTTTATAAATAAAAAGCAAGATAATTTTAAAAGATGCGTATGCATTCTTGCAACTCATGCTCAATTCACTAACCTCCTCCAGCTTTTGAAATCCCATGTAATGTCCCTCCCCTGTTTGCACCTGAATTTTTTTTGCGAATCTTCGATTCCCATCCATCACAAACCCAACATGTTGTGGTATTGGGCCCTGGCGCAATACTTTAATGAGAAGACGGCGAGAGAAGTTTGAAAGATATGCGATAGGTGAGGTGAAGAAATTCAACTCGGGAAATAGATGCAAGGATGTAGAGAATGATTTGTTTGATATTGGTGCGCAGTTTGTGGTGGCTTCACCTAAAGACATTTTGTATCTATATAGGTGTAATGGTAAGTAATTTGCAAAAGACCGAGCGAATTCAACTATCTTTTCCTTTCTAATTTATGCAACTTTGAACGCGTCGAACGCTTTTCGAGTTGCAAAATGGCAAGAAATCCGATATTGATTTTTCACATGAATGTCATCCAGCATGACAAAATAATACCTTAATAAAGTCACATTTTCCCGAGAATATCGTAAAACGAAAACTGTAATAGTTGGGTACATCTTATGGAAATTTAGTTCATGACACACAAAAAAGTTCCCGAATTTATAACGATGAAATGTCTAGCCTTTTTTCTTTGCACAAAATATAAAACCGCAAAATTCATAAGGATATAATCAATAATATTCATGGATATATAGTGATACTCCTATAATTGAGTGTTTCTTATTATGCTAAATGGAAAGCTATCGTTATCGTTATTTTATATTCGCCAATATGATTAAATGATATTATTCGTAATAATCTCTTCTTTTAGCCCCCGTGTTCAAAATATTATTAACTATAATTAGCCACTAATAATTTCTAAAAAAATTTAACGATATACTATAGAATAGTTAAAAACTAAAATATATAAAATTGATTGCTCCCTTAATAGAAAACAGTATAATAAAGTTGAATTACCTTTATTCCTTTGATTATATTCAGTCTCTTCAAACCTTGCACACAAATAATTTTAACGACGATAAATTTGAATATAAATAAATCGAATTTTTTACATTATATCGATTTTTATTAACATTAATCGTTACAAATTAATTCCAATTACTTATAAAATTTTGTGCTTTATTCGAATTGTAATAATTAAACTCGTTTTCAATTCCCGTAGCTTCCTGTTCTTGGTCCAAATACAAAGGATCTTCCGTATTAAAATTTTCTCAAATTACTACCCCCTTCACCCCAATTTTCCTTCTCGAATACATTTGACGGCATTGTAAAGTATTAAACTTGATTGTAATCAAAAATTAACTCTTCTTCCGATTTATTTGAGATTCCGCAGCATTTAAAAGAATGGCGAATCATTTGTGGATCGATTCACATTTGACCCATTCGGCAAGGAAGGTTTTTGAATACGTCCGGTTGGCGTTAAATTTTAATTTCTAAAGCCATCCAATTATTATAAATAGTACGAATCTGTAAATAAATAGATTAATATTAAAATATTATAATAATTGACATTTTAATTAATATTGTAACCTTAGATTTAAAAAGATTTGTTAATATAAACATCGAGTAGTTGCAGTTTCGAAGTTAGATCACCGGGAATCACAGCGATATTTGTATTTTTTCATCAGAATGGCATTTAACAGGATCAACCAAATGATCACGAAATGATCCATGACAATGACTCACTAAAGAAGCGGAACGCGGAAAAAAATGGCGAGGTTCGAATACCTCGCCATTGAAGAATTAACAAAGACCAAAAGAAAGTGGATTTTATTCATTAAAATAATCACAATCACTTAATACAATTTTTATTTTCATCTATCTTTTGAAATTAAACTAACTTGAATTTTTCAATTTCTTAGCGTTCCGTCTATTGTGACCGATCTGGCGATAATATTTAAAGGAAAGTTTCTCCTTAAGGAAATATCAGCCATTGTTAAAAAAAACCATATCACACATCGCTAAGACTACCATTCTAAATATTCAACCCCTTGCCTGTATCACATCATTGACCCTTTGTGGCATCGAATTGATCACAAAAGTCAATTTCAATGCAATTTGTAGCTTTTCTCACAAATTGGTTTTATTTAAAAGTGGATCAGGAAGATTCCGCAAGCATGCATCAACTTTATTCCATAAATTTTTGATTGGATTTAAGTCGGAGGACTGGGTGGGCTAATCAAGCAAAGTGATGTCATTATTTCCAAACTATCGCTTAGATATATTTTGGATCATTGTCTTGCTGAAATATGAAATCATTATCTTCCAGTATTTTCTTATAAATTATGTCTAAAAAATTGATATTTAATATACTAATATTGATATTAGCATCTATTTTATCATTAATTTTCAGAGTTTACCAACTATGTTAATAATTAGACAATTCCAAATCATAATGAAATCTTCATCAAATTTTACAGTAATATGATGATCTTTTAATTATTCTTCCATTATTATTTGCATTCATCTGATCCAAATAATTAGAACTTTGCTTTCATCAGATCAAATTATTTTCTACCAGTTATCAACTATCTAATTTTAGCATTTTTTTGTCCATTCTAATTGGAATTTTTTGTATATTTTTTTAAGTAATAACTTTTTTTGCTTAATTCTTGTGAATAAATTATTTTTTTTAAACATATATCATATATTTTTTTGGCTTTCAGTTCAGCTTAGAGCTTGTGTTAAACTTGAATGATACTAGTATATTTTTCAGATGATATTAATCAGATGGTATTCTATTTATAATGATCTGAAGAATATATAGATAATCAGATTTAATTTATTTTTAAAGTTTCTGATTTCTTCTTTATTTTTACAAATATATTAAATTGAAATTTATTTTAATAATATAATTTCTAAATTAAATATTCTTCTTGTTAAAGAGTATATATTCATGAGTATTTTTTTAATAAAAGATATTTTAAAATTAAAAAATAATTAAAATTATTATATAGAATTATGAAAATATATTATAAATATTATAATAAAAAAAGAATATTTTTATACTGTTATGATATGAACTTTTAATAGAATATTAGTTAATTTTATTATTGGTCGCTTCATATCACAATATAATTAGATGAATAATTCTTTATATCTTATTGGACATTAGCTTTAGAGAATATTATTTGTAAATATTTTTAGAAGGTTT